CGCTGGGCTCCCGGCCGCCCGAACCGCGGGAAAGCGGCGTCACGGGCGGCCGCGCTGCCGTCACTTCCGCGCCCCGCCCGCCCCGCCGGGGCGGCTGCTGTGGCAGGGGGGAAACTACTGCGCTGTGTCAGAAACCTCCCCAGCATTTGTGAGATGTACCCAGCTCAGGAGTTTGTTCGGGCTTTTTCTCTGTGTGCAGTAACTTAAAGCCAGGACAACAGTGTTGTTTGGGTTTTTTCTGGTTCACAATCGGAATTAAACCAGTGACAGTGAATGCAGAACAAACGGGATTTCTGAGGCAAAGGAAGGTACATAGAACAGCAAATTAAATGTTCGAGTTGTAGGCTGCGGTGGGATTTAGACATTCCTTACGATTCTAGAGAAACTGACTGTAATTTTACCCTGGTTCTGAGCACATGTAAAACACTTCTGACGAGATGTTACCAGCTGCTGTGGAAGGCCCAGGGTGCAGGACTGCATGGAGACACAGCTCAACACAGGCAGCCTTTGAGAAGCAAAGCTAAAACCCCAAACCATGGCTGAGTCCATTGCCCGGCCCTCACAACTGACCCACACATAAGGATTGAAAAAGAGAGCAAAGCGTGTCTGAAAACTTGGTGAGAGCCACTCGAGACCCTCCCAGCTGCTTGCAAGAAGGAAACACCCTTCTGGGTAGCTTCCCTCCCAGCTGCCTTGACACGCTTCTAGAGCCAGGCCCTGGGTCATCGCAGTGAGGTGCAAAGAATTTGTGTTGCTCTCATAACCCCCTGTGCATTAGTGCTTAGGGAGCATAATACCCTTTTAAATAGTTGGCAACCAGCCTCAGTGTGAATACTGATCTCCTAAAACGGTTAGTGTGCAGAGCACCTTCTCCAGTCACATTGGATGCACATTCCCAGCCAGCAAGGCAGCTCCTCGCCATATGCAGGTACAACCAAAGCACAGTCTCAGAATGCTTCAAGTTAGAACTGGAGGGAGAAATGAGGCAGCAGAGCTGCAATAAACTCTAGTCCTCCATCCTGGAGCTTCAGATGTAGTAACTACATCTGTAAGTAGTTACTACAGTAACTGCAGTAAGAAGACTTAACATGTGTTTGTATTTCTAAAGGCAGGAATGTGCGTGTGTAAAACTGTAAATTGCTGTACCTTTTCCCCCCACTGTTAGATACAGTGATTTTAATGTTTTAATACTGTATTTTAAAACTTTATTGTCAATGGCTTTGGGCTTTTAGAATAAAATGACAAAGAAAAGAAGAAAAGCAGCTCTTAGTGGCAAGAAAAAAAAGAAACACTGCAAGATCAAATGAGATATTCATGATAATTTCTCATCTGGGCTGACAGTATCTTTATTCTAAACATCTTGCAACAACAGCTTTTAAAGTGTAGGTCATCGAGACATGTTAGTCTGTGAAACTGCCCCATCAGGGAGTCCTGACTCATTGTTTCCAGCTGCTAGACAATCTTAAGTATTATTGTAATTTTTTCACTTAAAACTGTTGCTATAGTTTCATGGTAATTCCCAGTGGGAAGAGATGTCATGCCTTCACTACAAATGAAACCAAGCCTTTATATTTTGCCTTTTACTGCTCAGATAGGATAGAAGCTTGCTTCATTTTTTATTTTCTTAAAAATCAAATCTTTATGGTGGGGAAACTTGATTTTCAGGTGCACCTCATGGTCTACCAAGACTAGCTGCTTACTTCTACATTACAGACCACTTAAGTTACAATAAAAATTACATCAGTTCTTCTGAAGATTCGTGAGATACATGTATGCACTAAAACCACTGAATTGGTAGCTTCTGGATATTAGTCCAAGTACTAAATATTAGCAGAATTTGTGCTTGAATGAAGCCCATAAGCTGTAAAATTCACAAATAAAAAAATGTCTGCCCAAATTGCCCCCATTTCCCTGCAGAACTTACCGAGGAGGGGGCACAAACTCCACAATGGCCTTTTCTGTGCTTGGACATCCCTTGCACTGTGCACCAGCCACCAGTGTCACCTGGAGCCCAGCTGCCCCTGTCAGAGTCCTAGCACAGGGCTATCAGGAGTGAGGTGGTGGTGGACCTGCCCCGGCTCCCTGCAGGAAAACTCTTCTTCAGCTGCTGCCCTTCAGGCCCCAGGCCTTAAGAAGGACTTACCTGGAGCACCGTTTGGAGCACGAGATGGACTGAAGTGATAGCTCCACTTCAGGAGTACCTCGAGCATGCCCAAGCCATGGTTTGAAACATGCTTTTTCCACTCCCCAGCGTGACCTCCCCTGGGGACGCTGCCGTGACATTGCACTGGCATCAGGCTGCCCTTGAAGCTGGAAATGGTTTATGGGTGTGCTGAGGTGAAGCTGGCTGCTTGTACCCCTTGTTGGTGAGCCTGGCCCCTAGAGTAATTGTTTCCTACATAATGACTCCTTTCAAAATAAGGATAAAAACCAATTCTAAAAGCTAATATTCCTACAGTGATGTAAAATCCATAGGGACTGTGACAAACCTCAACCCATTTCTCCTCCAACAGTTCAAAGTCTCTCTATATTCACTTTATTAATAAAAAGAATATTTTCATTCCATATTTAAACTCATCTCTAACTTGCTCTTCTCAGAGCTTTACAAAGTGCACTGCTGGAGTCTCAGATACTGCAGTGATGAGTTTAAGGCAGGAATCTCTGTCTGTAAGGTACCTAACCAAATTGCTAGCGAGACTTGAAAGGACACTGACTGCTGTTGCTGGATGGAAACATCTGCACGTAGATGACACCTATACACAAAACTGCAGGCTGCTGCAGGGACACCTCTAGTTCTCTCCCTTTGAGAGTGCTTTAGAGAGGTTTTGTACTGATTTTTAGACTTCAGTGTCACTTTTTTTTTCTCTTTTTACTCAGGTAATTGTTTTTATCTACTTATAGAAAAATTAGAACTCCTTTTAGCTGTGTGAGGACCTTAATACATTGCATGTTCTCTGCAAGTGAAAATGGCCATTGGAATTGTGTCTCTTTTACAGATCTGTGCTAGCACTGAGGACCAGGGTACTAAAAAAATCTCTGACTAAGGCAATTTATCAGCTGAAGCCCTAGTGCCATCAGAAAAAAAACCCTCATCATTCCTGATATAGCTTTCCTTGCCCGTGGAAGGTTTCTGGACATGAGTGTGGGACATGCCTTTGCCTGCGCAGCTGCATGACACCACCTGCTTTGTCAGGCAGGTCCCGCCCTGCCTGTCCCCAGCAGGCAAAGAAAGCACTTCTAACCCTGGGCACATTCTGCCCCCGGGGTGTGCAGGGCATCCTGCACCCCTTCTGCAGGGCACTGCCTTTTGGTGGGCACTGCCAACTGGTTATTAAAGGTCAACAAACAAACAAGTCACAACCCTCTTGTTGCTTGCAATTACACAGCCACATTAATGACCCTGCTGTGATCCCTCCCTTCCTGCCCTGCTCAGTCCCAGGTTCTGCTTCCTCTTGCCGTGTGAAAAAGCGTGCTCCAGCATGGGCAACACCCTGTCCCCAGTGAGGATGTTTCCCATGCCTCCTCTTCCAAGACTTCCTAAGCCCACAAGGAGCGGAATATACTCTACTGGAAGTAGTTCTCAAGAATCTATTTAATTTTAACCAGCAACCTGAAAACCATTTGAAAATTAGCAACCGTAGCCTAGAGTGAACAGACACAGGCATTTCCTTGAGTTAAACTGAGCCATGATCTTGTGGGGTTTTTGTTCTTACTGTTCTGAAACTAAGATGATGGCATTCTTTACCAAGGCACAGCACTGAAATAGCTGAAAAGTGTTTGTGCATCATACTACAGCAAAACTAATGGCATGACAACAGTGCTACGGGCTCTTCTATGTTGCTTCCCCCATAGTAGCAAAATACCCTCCTACAACTAGAACAAGTGATGCCACAAAGCTCTGCTAGTATTTCTGCACCACAGGCTTCTGCTAACACAGCTGTGTCAGACTTCCATCCTCCCACCCAACTCATACCAACAGAAGCATGTACCCACCTTTCCAGAGGACAATGCTGCTCTCAGTTGATGGCTTTGATAAACCTGTTGGCTTCCACAGTACTGGTTCAGCTGGAAACAGTCTGCTTCAAACAAATTAATCCAGCCCCTGCTTCTTCTCTCTGCAAGTGCAACACATCTGTGCATGTTGCTTCAGGTAATCCTGCAACCAAATAACCAAACTCTTGCATTTTCTGCCTTGCAGACCTTCAATATTTTCTTCATACCAAAGCTTGCCCTGTGGCTCTTTCCTAAAGATGCAAGACTTCAATGGAGGAGGGAAGACTTGGAGCTTTTATCACATTTTGCAAGCCCAGGTCATACCCACTGACTGGTGACAACAGCTTTATACATGAAAACACCTGCTGAGCATCAGAGGCTGCTTGGGGCCCACAAGAGAGCAGCACAGCCCCCTCCACCAAATAAACACAGTGGCAGAGGGTAGTGGCTACTGAAATAACAGAGTGTCTGAGCACTAGGATTAATTTCTTTCATACAAGGAGTTTTAAGAATATTTGCAAAATTGTCCAATGAGGTCATTTTGATACTAACCCTTTCCTGGAATTCATTGAGCTAGAAATGTGGTTTTCTTCTGTATGACACAACTATGTTTATTATAGTCTTTTAAAATTATTATTTAAAAAATAACTGTAAAGAAAGCCCAGGCAGCTCCCAGAGCCAGGGATTTTTTCCATGAAATTGTCACCCATGCATAATCAACTTTGTCTAAGAGGGCAGAAGTTCCAAAGGGAGCTTTTCCTGCCCTCAGGGTGTTATAGGTCTTTTTCCCATACAACCTGCATGTCATTTAATAAGATGTGAGCACATGCTGGGAACTTTCCCTCGGTGCATGAGTTTTTTTCCTCCTTCCCCATGCTTATTTTCATACTACCAATAGAAATAAATTTCCCTCCACCATCCAACAGGCTCAAAAGTTATTAGGGACACAGGCATGTGGCACAGCCATATAAACCTTCTGTCTATAAAAACAAAACCTATTTCTCCCCACCTCTGCCACCCCTTCAGCAGCCTCATTTGCTGGTGTCTCCATCAAAGGACACACCACAGGTCGTGAAGTTTCTTACTGAGCTTTGAAAACAAGTTGAAGATGGTGGGGAGGCTTACTGAAAAATAACTTTCACGTTTAACTTGCAGAAAAATAGGAACAGTATGCTCATGAAAAGGTAGGAAACATGCTTAAAAGTACTTCAGCATTAATCTACCATCATACAGGTTTCCGAAGAATGCAGCAGTAACCCTTTCCTAGCAATTATTTGACCTTTATTGCAAGCACACAATTGCAACATCCTGAATGTTTGTAGCTGGCGTTTTCCCAGAGGATATTCCAGCTTGCTTACATCTATACCAACGTGTAGCTATGTAAATATAATTTAGACATGAGCATCTCACCAGTATCTACGTGAGACTTTGATGCTCATGTCTGCCATGCATGCACCACCAAGAATGGCTTATAAAAGTCCAGCTTTTGTAAAAGTAACAGTTATACTTATCATTGTGTATATAACGTATCCACACTAAGACTAAATTAATCTGAATGTAGAGGGAGTAAAAAAAAAGTATTGTGTATTTAAGAAACTTCCTCCAAAACAAATTATTTTATCTTGATCCAAACATTCACAATAGCAGGAAGCTGGATGATAGCATGTTTACAGTTGTGTAATAGCTCCAAAACCAGTAAAGCATCCTCCCACTATATTAAAAAAAGACCCTTTAAAAGATGAAAAATAGGATTCGTTCAAAGCTCCTGACTGAATTAACCTAAGACAAAAGATTTGAACATCCATGGACCATATTATTTAAAATTTGGTTTAATCAGTACTTTTTTTTCAAATATGCAAATATTTTATTAAACATTCCTACTTTCCTGATAAATCCCCAAAACTTCTCAGAAATACAAGTCAGTTCCCATATTATGGAAGCTTCCAGGTGGATTTTGGGAGATTTTCCAGCCTTCTTTTTGCATATTACTGCCTTTTTTTCTCTCCTGTAATTTTTCTTGCAAGCAACTTCAAAACAGCAGGTACTGTAACACATCTTATCCTGAACTCTCCCCAGCAAAAGCTGCCATTACAGAGATCCTAATCATATAAAAAAATTCAAACATGCTTTAAGACTAGCAGTTGTCAGTGCAAATGGCATGATGCAGAGTGGTATTAGTGATAGTTAAGCTAGCTCCAGGCTAACTGGCAAAGCTCAATGGCACAGGCTGATAGGAATGCCAGGAAGTGGAACAAAGGGGAAACACAAAGTGTGGCATGTAGTGAACACTGCTGGCTCTCAGCTGGGTCAGCCTGACTCACAGCATGCTGAGATTGCGAACCTCATTTGACAAACACTCAGGACAGGGATTTCTGACAGAAACAACATGGGTAGAAAAAACACCATGCACCAATACAAATTAGGGGTTGACCTGCTAGAAAGCAGTCCCATGGAGAAGGATCTTGGAGCCCTGGCAAACAAGTTACCCATGGGGCAGCAGTGTACTCTTGTGGCCGGGAGAGCCAATGGTATCCTCAGATGTATTAAGAACAGTGTGGGCAGCAGGTCAAGGAAGGTTCTCCTTCCCCTCTACTCTGCCCCTGTAAGACCACATCTGGAGTATTATGTCCAGCTCCGGGCTCCCCAGTTCAAGAGGGACAGGGGTATACTGGAAAGAGTCCAATGGAGGCTACAAGGATGATTAAGGGACTGGAACATCTGTCATATAAGGAATGGCTGAGAGACCTGGGATTGTTTAGTCTTAGGAAGAGAAGGCTAAGAGGGGACCTTATTAATGTCTATAAATACCTGAAGGGTGGATGTCAGGAATGGGCCACTCCCTTTTCAGTGGTGCCCTGTGACAGGACAAGGGGAAACAGCACCAAGTTACAACACAGAAAGTTCCACCTTAACATGAGGAAAAACTTCTTTACTGTGAAGGTGACGGAGCACTGGAACAGGCTGCCCAGAGAGGTTGTGGAGTCTCCTTCTCTGGAGACTTTCAAGACCCATCTGGACACATTCCTGTGTGATGTGCTCCAGGTGATCCTGCTGCAGCAAGGGGGTTGGAACTAGATGATCCTCAGAAGTCCCTTCCAACCCCTATGATTCTATAATTAAGCCAGCTCTGGATCTCCACTCTGGTTGTTAGGTATTTTGTGGAAATATCAACCCAGAATTTAATCAAGCATCACAACAATGTCTTTAAATGAAAAAGGAACAGAAAAACATGCTTCTCTGTTCCTATTTCATTTCTCAGCCACCAGTTATTCTGTTTTATCTTCTTGCTTTTAAAAACAGCTCCACAAGTAAAAAGCTTTAATTTTAACTTCAAATTTAAACTGTAGTCCCCTCCTCCTCAGAAAAAAACCCAACACCCACAGCAGCAGCAAAAGAAAACACAAGACTTTTAGACAAACAGGTTTATAAGGTTTATTTTCCATTGCACATATATGGATTATATACAAGTTAGTAACATAAGTTACTTCTTAATTTTCTAAAAGATTGTTACAGCAAACACTTGCCATTTCAAAACATCAAGTCAGAAATTAATCTAAAAAGGAAAATGTGACAATATTTTAAAAACAAAACAAATTGCACTTTGTTAGGGAGATTCAAATACAGCTTTTTCTATATGCTGTAAAAACTATATAGCAGGTAATATTACAGTTAGAAGTAGCTCTTGCAGTCAGTCCATTTGTACATTAATAATTCTTTTCAATTTTACTTAATTAAAACCTGGTGGATATTTCAAAGACTTCCTGGTCTTCCCAGTATTCAAGATTCATCACATGAAATGCACTAGCAACTAAGTTTTTAAACAATTGCTATTCAAATATAAGAAGAACACCACACCTGAAAATAAGGAAAAAAACCCTAAAACATATTGATTTTACATGTATCATGAGATGAAAAGTATGGAAGGTGTTCAGCAATAAAGCTCTGGTCCACTACTTACATAAAAGAAGATTTTAAAAAATAATCACTGCACACAATACAAAGGGTGGGGTCATACTGTAGTTTTTAAGTCTCCTGTAACAGTAATATTCCTCATTACTGTTCACAGATGAGCGTTTCCATAGCAAACCTGTTCTCAAAGTGTCGAATCTTTCGGCAATTGATGGCTTCACGCTTCTGAATTCCTGTTTGTATTAGTAAAGAATAGAAGAGGGGATGAGATACATCAGAAACATAATATTTTTACGTCTGTTACAGTAAGATTTAAAAAATTTAATGCAGTATCTTACGTATCGTAACCAGGAATCATACCTACCCTTCTTTGATCCCGCCCTCTCAAAGGAAACATGTAGGCACACATTCATACTTAGAAAATAAATAGGCAGGCAATGATCCTGAAGGTGGTGAACCAAGTCACACTACTGGTTTGGTTAAAAACAACCTGCCAAACCCCCTCACTGGATAGTTTTAATCCAGACCAGTTCCCAATCTCTATGCATCTGTAAAAACACTTGTGGTCTTACTAGAGGGGACAGCAAAGGAATAAACCACTGTAGGCAAAAAAAAGAGTGGACTTGTTTATGT